CACAAGAAGTGGGCCTTTGCAGTTTGCTTTATTCCAGACAAGGACATTAACTCCTTGTCAAAGGGGAGAGTTGCTTTTAGAGCCGCTGACAGCTGTCCAGAGATTAAAATTCCTTTCAGTTAGGCTAGTACTGTTCCTGTGTTGTGGACCTTGTTTGGGAACACCTGACCCTGAGCAGGCAGACCAGAGGTATCAGCATTAGGAGAAATCTAGCGGTGACTCATTGCACCCTAGGGAAGAACTGGAGATGAAGAACACCTTTCATTCAAGCAACGCTGGAGCAGGCTAAACTCTTCTGAGAGGATCAGTCAAATTCAGGTAAAATACCTGTGTTTGTTTCCAGGAAAACTAAACATCAGGTGTGCTTGAGAGCAAGGACTGGCAGCTACCATCAAAGGCATTTTTCTGGTGTGTTGTGTGTGTTCACAGCCTGTTGAACCATAGGAGCAGGCGTGATGGAGAGGCTCAGAGCTGCAGCCTCCTGCTGCTGCTTAGTGCAATCTGAAGCTGCACTGAAAAACAGGGAGATGTTGTCAAGTCCTTCTGGCAATGGAAAAAAGTGTACAAAATGAAGGGAACAGTGTTGTCAGAGCTGAACGGCAGCGACATGTTGTGATTGAAAATTATTTTCTTCACTTGCACAATGATACTGGCATTTAGGGGAAAAAAAGGAGCACCGCAGAGACGGTCATTACAGATGGAGGAGACTGATTAGCCCCTCTAGCTTTTCCACCTGAAAATACAAGATGTACTATGATACCACCGACATGAACTCCATGGGAGGAAGTAAAGGAAATGTGATTACAGATATTATATCCAAATTGAATTAAAGCTGCATTAAAAACCTCAGATTACTGCACGGTTCCATACTACGTTTGAAAACATGATATGCATCTGCTACTGACAGACACGTAAACAACATGCAGGGGCTTATTTCTCAGAAAACTAGTTTGATCTCTGACTTGCTGATTCACAAATCCACAGAAACAAAGGTAAGAAGTAAAATTACAGACAGCACTCCCCAGCACATAAATAATCATCAGCAAAGCAGCCGTGTTGGTTGGGATTTTTCTTGGTTTTTCTTCCATATACTTACTCTACATTGCAACGTTAAGCAAAGTTAATTACCTCATTTTCTTTATTGATAAAAATTGGATAAAAAATCTGATCTTCTTTGCAAAAGGCAAATCTGTAGATAAAAGCATTAGTATTACATGCTGATGTTAATAAATATTTTCTCAGTTGACTAGTGATCACTGGAACACGCTTCTGTGCTATGCTCATTCACTGTACAGATTTAAATGAGTTACTAAATCCTTCTGACTCCTCCTAATTTTGCTGACAGGAAGAAAAAGCAATCCTTAAGCTGGTTTATCATATTTATATATACTGTATCCTTAAGCATACATGTCAAGCTCACTTTTAAACTATTTTTTTGGGAGGTCATGTACTGGTATATATGGAGGCAAATATCCCTTTGTTTTCTTGACTATGACTGCTACAAGGCAATGAAAAAGATCTCAAGACTATGACAGTGTCATGAGTTACTGTCTCTGCCATGAGGGCTCTGTACACCTAGTAATTCTCATAAAACACTGTCTCATATGACCAGAACTGACAAAGTGAACTATAGTAAAATAGTGCATCTTTCAATTACTTCCTGCATTACGTTACATCAAGTGGCAGAGTACAATAAATTTTAAAATAAAAAGTTGACATTAATGATTATATAGTTATAAATGAATAACAAAGACTTTTAATGCACATGTAAAAATAATCCAGCAATCACTCTCCAACGTTATTTTACCCATTTTCAAGCAACAAAACACAGCTGGTAGCTGTTTATGAAAAGGGATCAGTGTGCTAAAATGTGCTCAGTCTGAAATAATAGCTCTAGAAAAAAGATTTGAACAGAGATGTATTTTAAGAACAAAATCAAAGAAAACAAAGTCACAGAACCTGAGAGTTTCAAAGCACTCTCCTCCTCATATATCCCACTCTCCTCCAAAACAAACCCAAGGCTATAAAAAGCTTCAGGAAAGATTTTCAAAGGCGCTGAGCTTTCAAAAGGAAGAAAGCCCTGAAGTATTCTCTGTGCATTTCAATAAGGAAATTTCCCCTATATCTTCCACACTTCAGCCTTCTCTGCAAACACGCACCAATCGGCATGGTCAAAGTATGAGTGAGTAATATGTATCTCAGGAACGTGATGCTCTATGAGGTCAGTCAATTCCTCTTCTTTAAAAACGTGGTAGTACCTCAACCATGCCCCACCAGGACCCGTCTGCTGTCTTCTCTGCACGGTCAGGGCGCACTCACGGTCTGCCTTCTGCAGAGAAGAGTTTGTTCTTTTGTTCTGAGGTTGGCAGAAAGCTCCTTGGTTTGGGTGATGGTCTATTTTAAGTTGTTGTCTGACAGCTAATTCTTTCTGATGTGAAATCAGGTCAGGTAAACAGACTTCGCTGCAACCATGAATAGTATCTGCAGCCATAGAGAGCTGTATAGTTGCTTGCTCTATTTCTGAATTAGGGCTTCTGAAAGCCTTTGAGCAGTGCGACATGGGCAGCACAGGTTTAACAGCCACTTCAAAAGCTGTTGTATTTTCAAAACTCTGTTTGCAATGTGGGAAAAAGTTGGAACCACATTTCAGAAAGCCACACTCTCTGTTTTTTTCAACTTTTTTTTCTCTAATTCATTCAGCTGAACATTGTAATTGCAGTATCTAATGAGCTCTTGGTGCCATTGGTCACCCACATCTAATACTGAGTTAAGTGATCTTGAGAACAGAGACCGTCTCAGAAATTTCTCTAACACCATACACGGTGCTTTTTTCTCCCCTCCACAGGATGAACTCCTTGCTGTCCTGCGTACCTCTGAAGTCCCATCCAACTTATGACAGGGCTGGTTCAAAGCCCGCTCTTTGTCCTTGTGAAGAATTGATTTTTGTTCTCCATGTAAGCAAGGCTCACCCGAGGAGCAGGAAGGAGGTGAAGGATTCCAAGGAACAAAGACATCTTGCTTTTCACATCTCCGTTTTTGCTCCATTGCCCACACATGTATCATTATCTGGCCTCCTACTCTCGAGATGCGAGCCATCTCTTTTATTGCTAGCATGCGCCTCTCTTCCGTTGAAAAATGGTGAATCACCAGAACAGAACAGATAAGGTGAATAAGTATCCCTCGTGGCACTAATGAATACAAAGTAGAAGGACAAGGACTGGCTCTGACACACTGGCAGCCGGCGGTTTGCACCACAGGAATACATCATTTATCTTCCATTGTGCGACGCATTGTTGTACGATCTCTAACGCACGAAAAGAGTTCATAGCACACTGACTTATTTTAAAAACACAGCATAATTTGGAAACATTGAAACAAGTGACATCTTTCAGATCAGCAATAAACAACACAACAGTCTTGTTTTCTGAATGAAAGGCTACCACTCGGTCAGTGGCAAAGCAACCTGGCCCTTTTTTTACCCTCACCTAATGCTTGTCTGCAGCCTGAAAGACTGAGGCCATACATGGTCCTTGCAGCAGCAGTGCTTGTGATCCTGCTGACAATACCAGTTAAAAATGGACTAGGTTAAAACTGCCTGCCCATCTCTCCTCCTTTATTAAGAGACGTCGGTAACAGAGCAGGAAAAATGAACAGTCATTATCAGCCTGGGTTCATTTAAATCAACATATGGGTGAAAGACATTCAGTCAATTAGCATTTGTCTGCTTTTGCTATTAACATACATATATCATGAAAACAAATAATTAGATAATCCCACTCTTTCTTGATAACCCCACCACCACCACACAAACACATGTGACGTGGAGAATGCTTCATCGTTCCAATGGCGAAACTCAAGCAGCACAGCTTCGCTTGAGTCAGAGCTGAGTTTAAATATGATTCTCTTCTCAATAAAAATTTTTCCCCCAAAAAGGGCAACTGGTCTCTGGATTTGTCAGGAATTCGCCCAACGGCAGCTCTGCAGGTTGGCTCCTGCTCTCCGACTGCGCAGCGCTAGAGCAATTCACAACAGATGTCGAGGTTGATCAGGTCTTGGTGCACAGCAGGGACTCCAGCAAAGTTTCAGCTACATCAAATAAATGTTACATGAGAAATACGAATAGGAAACAATCCTAGAATAGTGCTGGAAAGGAAAGAGCACATATTAAAGATGCTGAAAACGAAAGAAATAGAATTAGTGATATTTATCTAACCTTAGATTTTCCTCAGTGAAAATGCCTGTGCCAGTTTGGGCAGATATTTCTACACATATGTTGTGGTTTAGCCCGGCCGGCAACTAAATGCCACACAGCCACTTGCTCACCCTCCCAGACTAAAACCAAACCACGGAGCTCTTCTAGCTGCTAGAAAGAACTAACTCTGTCCCAGCCAAAACCAGGACAACATACTGTTTCAGGTTACAAGGATAAGCCAGTTATTAGTTAAGCTGTTGAGGTGTTGGCTTTCCACAGAAAAATAACAGATCTTTCAAGGAAAAAAAAAAAGGTGCAAGCTTTTGATTCTTTCTAGAAACATAAGTATAGAAAATGCTAGCAGCAGCTCTGTATCTGCAGCTTCTCTGTGTCTGCCAGGACGGCCGTTCACCACCAGATCCATTTCGCCTCAGAAAAAGAGACACTTTACAATTAAAAGAATAACAGCGTGCAATCCAGCTGAGATAGGAAAACATTCTCCCTGCAATGAATGATGCATTCAGAACCTCAGTGGCAATGTGACGATCAAAAGACAAGCTTTGAAGAAATAGGGTCTTTTAACATTTAGTTATTCAGCTGCTCTGCCTGTAGGTTTCACTTCTTTGAGATGAGCAGAAATCAATTCCAAAAGCTCAGGTCTTCTAGCACTACTGGAGATGTTGACATTGAAACATTATGGCCTTTTTAATTAAAAAGACATCAAGTATCATTTAAGAAATTACAGCGTATTAATAAAATCTCACGCTGCGCAAAACTTTAGTGTTGCCAAGATAAATTTGTCAGATAATTTTAAAAGCTATGGGTGATACATTCCATCTAAAAATACATAACTCAAGGAAACAGAGCGTCTGCACAGGGCAACATCGCACTATCCTGAAATCACAGGCTACCATGGGATTTATCGCATGATTGTTTTTAATCGAAGCCAAACCTGTCAGGCTCCAGGATCACCATGCAGCCACATTCACCTAAAGCAGGTAGCGGATTCCGCAAGATGAGAACCACAAGCCAGAGCAGAGATGCCTGCACCCAAAGGAGTTCGTAGAGGACTGTCTCCCATGGGACAGGACCCCGTGCTGCTGGAGATTGACAGTGGAGCAGAGATGCACCTGCAGCCCATGGGAAGGGACCCCCTTCTAGGGCGGGTGGCTGTGCCTTAAGAAGCTGTGACTCCATGAGAAAAGCCTGCACTGGAAGAGTCTGATGGGAAAGGACTAGACTCAGTGGGAAGGACACATCTTGGAGAAGTTCATGGAGAACTGCCTCCTGTGGGAAGGGACCCCACGTGGGAGAGGGGAAGAGTGTGAGGAGACAACTCCAGAGGAGGAAGGAGCAGTAGAAAAAAAGTGTTACAAACTGACCACAACACCCATCACTGTCCCCCTGTGCTGCTGGGGAAGCAGGTAGAGCCGGGAAGAAGGGAGAGGTGGGGGAAGGTGTTTTAAGATCTGGCTTTGTTTCTTGTTATTCTCTCTGAAGTAACTGGTAATGAATTAAATGGATTTGTCCTCAAGTCCAGACTGTTTTGCCTGGGGCCATGGTTGGTGGGTGATCCCTCCCTGTTCTTCTCTTGACCCTGAAGTGTTTTGTTGCATTTCTCTCCTCTCCACCCTACTGGGGTTGTGGGGAGGCGTGAGCGAGCGGCTGTGTGGTAGCTTAGCTACAGGCTGGGCTAAACCATGATGCTAATATTTAAGCTAAATCTATCCTCTTCTGTTTAAGACCATTGTTCCTGTCCTGTCACTATAGACCCTGGTAAGAAGTCTTCATCTTTCTTACAGGCCCCCTTTAAGCATTGAAAGACCACAACATGGTCTCCCTGGAGCTTTTCGGAGCTACACCGTTAGAACAATCTTTCACCAGCTGTTCAACATATTCAACATATTTTAAGGTGATTTCCCACCATCCAAACACTATAAAACAAGGGTCCAGATGTTTGAAAGCGCATTTGTCATAATGACTGGTACTTTAAATGAAAATTAGTTTTGTCCTAAATTACAGTAACTACAGAAGCTTGCAGGTGGTGAAAACAGTATCAGGGCTGAGGAAACTCATCCTGGGCTGGAGCAAACATCCCTCCAGCATGGGGCTGTGGCAGCAGTCAGCACTGGATGTTCAGGAAAGAAGGAAGGGAAGAATAGTGATGCTCTCTCTCCTCATCTCCTGCAGTCGGCAGCCCAAAAGCTTTGTCAGCCACAGGCCGGAGCTCATATCTAATAGTCAGTGATGATCCTGTTCTCCATGGATATTTTCTTGGACTCACTTGTACTTCTGATTACACAAATTTACATGTCAAAGGAATCTGCAATTTAATGATATATTTTTTAGAAAAATGGTTCCTTCTGTTTTAACTCCTTCCCTGTGGTTTTCCTGTTGTAAAAAACCACAGAAATTTACTCCCTATTCATTAATTTAATATCATTGTGGGTTCCAGGATGCACTCCCCCTCTCCCTCAGGAGCAGTATGATGAATACACTTACAGAATCATAAAATCATAGAATGGTTAGGGTTGAAAGAGACCTCAAAGATCATCTAGTTCCAACCCTTCTGCCATGGGCAGGGACACCCTCCACTACACCAGGTTGCCCACAGCCTCATCCAACCTGACCTTGAACATTTCCAGGGACGGAGCATCCACAACTTCTCTGGGCAACTTGTTTCAGTGCCTCAACACTCTCAGAGTGAAAAATTTCTTCCTTATATCTAATCTAAATCTCCCCTGTTTCAGTTTAAAGCCATTGCCCCTTGGCTTATCACTATATACAACTTCTTTTATGATACTCTTTCTTTTTTTAGGTTAAAAGCCCTAGCCCAGTAATCTATCCTCATACATAGAGAGTTTGTACCTTTGATCATTATAAGGACCTTTACTAGTTCATCTGTATCCTTCCAGAGATGGAGAAAACCTGATTTTCATGCAGTATTCAAGATATAGATGCACCAGGTGTTTATCTTCTACCATTCTTGTGGATTTTCATTTTTATTTTTAATATTTGAATACTTTTTTGACCAGATTTGAAGACTGAGCTAATATTTTTCAGGGCAACGAAAATGAGTCCAATAATGACTTCAGTATCTCTTTCCTGTACAAGAATAGAGGGTGCCACTGTGTCTGTATGCTTAGTTACTTTTTTCCGTGCACATTACCTAGCATTTATCCACAAGTACTTTCCTGCAATTTTGCACAGTCATTAGTTTCACGTGATTTTCTTTGCAACTCTTTGCAGTCAGTAATCCTGAATGACTCTATGTCACCAGCAAACTTTATCACTAGCCTATTCATTTCATTTGTAATTATAAATTACATAGCAATCTGTTGAACATCAACCTTTTTATAGGTGACATACACCTACGCTAAGCATTCGACATTGAGTCTTTTAGCACTTTCCACACTTGGCTGCTAGCATTTTACCCTTCTGTCTTTCCTTTTCAGTTTTCCTTAAGAGTTTCTTCCTTTTTGGTAGTAAACTTTTATGCAGTTGAATTTTTTACAGCATTTCTGTCCCTAGCAGGAGGTTCAATTATGGTCACATTACAGGCAGTGAGATAATGTAGTTCTTGCACAATTACTTATTGATGTGGGCCTGATGCACTGTTTCAGACTAATAAGAGTTGTTTCCCTTTTGTGAGTTCTCAGATTAATCTTTCCAAGAGGTTTTGTGCCCCTGTGTATCATTTACACAACATACATATGGATAATTGCGGTTTCTCAATATTGTGCTTTCTGCCCTCACAGCCCTCACAATCTCTCTTAATAATCTGTGGTCGTTTTCCCCAAGTTTATCAGAGAGTTAGTGATACATCCTTATTATTACACTGCTCTCCTCTGTAGCTGTCTATCTTCTATCATTTCTTCCAGAAGTTTTTCCTCATGTTTTTTCCACAAAAGAATATTCAGAGATTTTTAGCTGTTATGCAACCCTTGTAACAAAAGCTAGAAAAAAAGTCTTAAGTTCACTGGAAAAAGGGCTTTA